GCGGCGCCCGGCGGGGGCGGCGGCGCAGGCGCGCTCCGCGTCCAGGAGCAGCAGCAGGTGCTCCAGCTCAAGGCGGCGCAAAAGGTGAGCGAGGTCGAGCTTGACGAACCCTCGCCCTGCACCCACGCATACTCCACTCACACCAATCGCGATTATTTTTACGGAAGCCACAGTATGTGTTAGGCTAGAGGCCATGGTGGAAAAATACAACTATTTTGGAATAAAAAAATACCCACTAAATATTAGTTTGCTTTCAACTCCTCAAGACCTTGTAGCTAGTTCTTTACAAAACTCTTATTCTTGCGGTTGTACGTAATTAGTTTATGTATTACAACAATAATTAACCTGAGGGATACTTCCCCTCCATTTACACTTCCTGCAACGATTGTGAAATCGTTTTTCTACACGGACTTTTTACCAAATGCAAGAAAGGTTCCTTGAATTGTCAGTTTATAAAAAAATGAAAATCAAGGTTAGCATTATTTTCGGAAATAAAATGTTTTATTAGGAGCATCTATAGTGCTCCTTTCAAAATTTTCAGGCGGCCCAAGGACCCCTATGGCGCATACCTATGGTCACCACCAAATAAACGTTCGTCTTCAAAAGCGATTACTTCTATCTACATTTCAGATTCACGCACTTATATTACTCTACCGTTAAATTTCTGAAACATCACCACATCCGGTATTACCCAGCTTGTGGGGTGACACACACGTCATCCACCCGAAACATCTTCCGGGGTGGGGTGGGGGAGCGCCTTTACTCCTCAATCACGCGAGTAGCACCGTCGGCCCCTGGCTTTTGTGAGCGAGCGCCTCCGATCACTCGTCGGAAACAAGCCCTCGAGTGTCGAGTGGCGTTTGGCCGAAGGTTTCAGCGGCCGTCCCTTTCCGCCGGTACAAAGCTCCGTGCGCGCCGCGCCGCGCCGCGCCCCGCCCTTCGCCAGCTGAGACGCCCGCGCCGCCATCTGTCGCCGCCTTCCGCAGCTGCTTCGCGAGCACGCCCGCCACAAGGCGGTTTTTTGAGGGGGGTTGGTTTTTGCGTGAGGAAGTGAGGCGACGGGCGGAGGTTTTTGTCTTACTGACGTCACGATTTGGCAATGTAACAGTTGAATTCTCGAATGAACTTGTCTTGTGATGGCTCGCAGACGTCCTTTACTAACATCGCAGTGTCTCGGGAAGAGATGTACAACCTACTGGAGTTGAGCTTTCAAAAAACACGAAGGGAACGTAAAATTAGAAATTGTTCAATTAATTAAAATTTAATTAAAGTAAAATTCGATGTAAAACACGTTTAGACAATCGTTAATTTTCATATCTCACATCAAAGTGTTAAAGAACTTCTCGATCACCAGTAAATGAAATTATAGGCTGCGTTCGTTCGTGCGTGCGTGTGTGCGTGCTACTCGAATTCCGGAAACAAAATGCAAATGACAACTTTCTTTGATTAAGAAACTTTTGGCTAATTTTTACCCGAAAACAGACAAGTCATAGTAAAGGAAATTATGTTTACACTGGTTTTACGAGTATTCATGCAGGCAGTTATATTATCTACACAGAGATTACCTTATACGTAATGTGATATATTATATTTCAAATGTTTTTAACAACCACCTGCCATTTTTTGAGTAATGATTTTTAATCTCTTCCCCGACCAGACCCTCACTGGAGAGCAGCGATAAGTTGAACCGCTCCAATTCACAAATTCTCCGGCATACAGGATGACGCATGCAATGTCGAATTTCACTAGACCACAAAACAACAGTTTGACAAATGGTATTTTTGATTTCGAAAACGCTTGCACAAACATGCCCGAGTACAGGAAAAGTTTGTGCATACGTTTCGTATTTAAGAAACACGTTGGAATTCAGAAACAGAGAATCTGCACATTGGTAAGAATTCGTGCAGTGGGCTATCCTCACAAATGAGTTTTTAGATTTCGACACTATTTGCCGATTTATTTTTATTATTTCTACAATTCTGTATGTCAGTCGCGTTTAAATAATGATAAAAGTTCTACACCGTCAAAAAGTCAATTAATGTCTCATTTATTTATTAAAAAGTAGTCTTAATACACGTTATATATATATATATATATATATATATATATATATATAATGCGTATTGAAGAAACACGTTGGAATTCAAATATATAATCCAATGAAATATTACTATAAAAATTTATTTCTAAACATGAATTACATAAAATGTTCATTAAAATGCTCCTTGAAATTTATTAATTTGTGAAGCAAAGCACCAAACTTTAATTTAATCATTTATAAATTCAGCACTAACGAAATCTCAAAGGAACACACTTAGTCCTCCCCCACGCGCCGAAGACTGTTCGAGGTGGCTGGGCGAGTTCGAGTAGTGACCGGCTCGCCTGTTCCTCTGGTCCGCAGGTGCAGCAGCGGCGCGCCACGCAGAACCTGAAGCGCGGGCCGCTGGAGCGCCTCAACAAGGCTCGTGACAACAACGCGCGCAACAAGGTGCAGCGGCGCTCCGACCGCATGCTGCAACACTCGGGGGCGAACAATAACCGCAAGTGCTAGCTGCCGGTCGCTCCCGCGGGATCGCAGGCCGCACACGCAACCGGAAAAAAGAAGACGGACGGGCATTGAAGACGAAGAAAAGAAACGGAAGCCAAAACAAACAAAACAAAACAAAAAAAAATGAAGGGAAAAAAGAAAGAAATCATTGGTAGACGCATTATTGCGTAAGAAAACAACTCAAAATTAAAAAAAAAATTCAATATTTGGGATCACTGAGAACACGAGTAGACCGGGTCGCAGTTTCCGCTTTTTGACAGGAGTATAATTAAAAACACCAATTTGAATTCAGGACGTAGAAACCTAGGCTTATGTCTCATCGCACAATTTCGATGTGTCTTCTAAACGCCACTTCTGTATGCGCTCTTTTAGAATTCCACACAATTATGAAGGGAAAGGTTACTTTTCCTGTACTAAAATGTACTGTAATTCTAACTGGTCTACTGGTGTTTTCAGAAATGTTCAGTCCCATCATTGAACTCATTACCACATCTCTATGGCTCACTTCTCTTCCCACATGATCACGATGCATTTTTTACAGTAATTTAATTTAGTTTTACTTTCTTTGCCGATTTGTCAAAAACTAACGAACTTTCAGAAAATAAAGCAACGTAAACATCGAATCATCATTCTGCATCGTAAAATATGTTTGATTAATAACAAATTCTGTTATCTAACGTTCACTGAACGATCAATCGATCAGAAGAGAAGCGATCATAGAAGAGCAAAAAAAATATATTATTTTTTTCATTTTCGTTTCCTTCCTTTTGAACAAAAATGTAGTTCGGCGAATAACTAACCAATTCGCGCTTACGAAAAACTAACCATACCTTTTCGAATACGTCATGTTACTGCGAGACTTCATCTGTGGGTTTCAATATGGAATACGACAGGTGAACTTGCTTTACTCAGCACCGTTCAATTTTACGCTTTGCACTCCTCAACTCACACGAAGGCACAATTTTGTAGCTTAAGTAGATTCGGGAAAATAACGAAACTCCGTGCCCGATTTGAACCCCCGCTTCATCTGCCGTCAAAGAGAGTAGTGCACCGCTGACAGGCCATCACAGCGCGGGAAAAATTACAGCTTTCTTGAGATCGGCAGCGTTTCTTTCCTTCTGTCGGTTTCGGCAACACGTCGTTGCAAATCGACTCCACGTTTATTTTTTTTCTTAAAATAGGAACTAATTATTGTCGAAAAAAAATATATAGGAATATATCATTATTTAAATGTATGTATTTAAAAAAGATGCGAGTTGTAGGTACACGCCTCGTTATTATAATTTAAAAAAACAACAACAAACCATGAGACTTTTCGAGCTGTTCGGTATCGAAGCCCTACGCACTGCCAGTAGGCGGAAGTAGCCGTCGATTCGCGACGGAAGTAAGCAGGCGAGTAATGTACGCGGGGCGCACCCTGCGCGCGTTTGCGTCAGGACTTCGCTCTCACCAGATAATCACGCCGGTTCACTCGGCCCTTTTCGCTCCGCCAGCCATTCGGCCCACAAAAGGGCTAAATACTACGTTTGGTCTAGCAACGAATACTCACTCTCTCGTCCGGCGAGCGACTCGTTTTCTCTTTCGTCATCTTTTCTCTTATTTCGGACTAACTTGCTTTCGTTTTGGATCGATTATCTTTTTTGATAGCGGAGCATCCGGAGGGGGGGAGGCACATTGGGCTCCAGGAGTCGATGAGCGTATTCAAGTAGGTTTTACTAATTTTCTAGTAACTAATGCCATTCAATATATCAATTGAATACGTCATAAATAATTGAAAAGCAACAAAAAATAAATTTAAATACTGCTTAAATGAAAAAAATATTTATAAGATAATATGAAGTTGCTTGGCCTCCCTCCCCTATAAAAATTCTGTTTGCGCCACCGCCTAACATGTTCGACACTTTCATCGCATTCTAATAATATTACTACCATGACAACTAAAAAAAAAAAAAACTACTAAGGTTCGTTCGATTTGTTTCTTTCTTTTTTTTCCAGTTCTTCCGTTCTCAATTTGTCAAAATACAGAATACGATTAGGAATATGTCACTGTACATTTTTTCAATTTACAAATAATTTATGAAACATTTTTCATAGTAACAGCGACCGGTTCGATACACTGCAGTCTGACCAGACGTCCATCGTCACAGGAGAGCCAATGGAGACAACTGTAAAAACTGCAACGGCCTTCGTCCGGAGAGAGAAAAAAATGTCCAAGCTTCGGCGTGACCAAACAAATGAAAAAAAAATGTGACTAGCGTCTAAATCTCTACTGTGCGATTGCTGGAGGAACGCTAATTGTGTGCCTTCATGGCCCCGAACTTTCCCTTTAGACTGCGAGCTACTGTCCCCTAGGGAGTTTGGTGCGACGGACTTGTCTAAGTGCGCGCCACACCCCCACAATTTGCGTCGAGTCGCTCCGGTGAAACGGTCACGACACGCGTCCCTTCTTGCATGCGAGCACACGCCCTTCCTCCGCGGCGAGGCCAGAGGGATGCAGACGCCATTCGGTTCTCGGTTCGGACAGTCGGGGATTGGAACAAGCATCTCTATTAACTTTTTTTTTTTAAATTAAGGCAAACCAACGAAAGTATATACTGCTTATAGCGAAGTACCTGTTGAAGGCAAGCTGTTGTGGAGTTGAATATACTTCACCCACAGGTGGACCAATTGAGATTTCCCCGGTTCCCGACTCTTCGAGGTCTTCTCGAAACATCTTCAATCTCGCTGTCACGCGAACCCAACAACGCCAACTCCGCGGAATGGTTTCCCAATTAGTGTTTCGACACCGCCGAATCGGCGTCACATTTTTTTCATCAACGCGTCTCTCCTTTAGAGATTAACGAATGTTCTTAATTATATGCTTGCTGCAAAATGAAAAATGTTGAGTGAAATTCCTTCAGAATCAGTAGGAACCTTACAAATCGCCAATTCACGTTGGCAACATACTATTTTGGAAAACATAAATTTTATGTGTATTTGGATTATTACAAAACTCGCCCCCTCGCCCGCTACTGCTTCGCGACCGGTACTCCTGATAAATGAAACTAGCAATACTGTTACACAGCAGGCAACAAATGGAAGTGTAAGTAAATGTTGCTGCAGGTCAACCGAGACGTTACTGCATTGCGAATCGGTACTTAAGCACTTCCTTGTTGGGGTTGCCAGTGGATTCCTTTTTATTCATGATTTTTACCAGTAACAACCCATACCAAGAACTCGTTGACAATCAATGAATTTTAACGATTAGGCATCTGAATACTTGTTATGTTTTAAAATGGGTAAAAAAAAATCTTCAGCTCTCATGCAATTACAAATATTTTCTGCAAGTATACCTGCATTGAAGCTGCAAATCAGCATCTAGATTTAAACTGATGAGCAAATACACATTTCCAGATCTAAAGAAAAATTAACTGGGAATAATTTTCTATTTAAGACATTTCTTTACAGATATGTCATCATTTCTTTTGTTTTTCAAATTAACCTTTCAGGAAACGCAAGGATGTTGAAAATTGAAATAAATACAATGTACTTACTGTACATGTTCCATTCAAAAAAAATATACTGGAAAAAAATCTTTGAAAAGACAGGAATCCATACAGAAAAGATGCAACACCATGACTTGCAGTTTATTCTGAATGTGTGTGATGGATGTACGTATTGTTCACTGTGGTTCTTGTGTCTTAGAGTAGATTGCGCCACTTTGAGCACATATTTATAGTAACAAATATATCACGTCCTTGATATTTTTGTAAATATTTTGGCATTGTGAATTTCCAAATGTGATGCAAGTACTCCAAAGGGTCAAGAATTAAAACGAGTTACTATTGTGCTTGGATACCATGAAATTTCAAGTAGTTTAGTACTATACATGCCAATTATGTGAGATTTTTAAGTAAAAATGTATTAATGCCCTGGTTTGACAAGCTGGCATTGTATAGCTATAAAGATGCCCTATTTAAACATAATTACAATTCTGTGATACATAGATACAAATACCAATAATTACATTGTGCATTAGGAATTTTTCAACAGTATTACTTGTGTTCACTTGCACAGCTGTTTAAGCCAAAACTACAAGAAACTGAACGAACAGCTGATGCCAATACGCTTGCACGAAACTAGTTACTTTTGACACATAACTTGAACTACCAAATTCTATGCCAATTAGCAAGCAAGGGCGTAAAAACCAATATTAAATGCCAATTATAATAATTCTAGGTATGATGTAAGGACTGTGTAAGTGTGTGGACATGTTAAATAATTATAATATTGCAGCTGATGTGTGTAGTTGTGTGCATGTACAAGATCACATTTAAGTGTATATATGTATTAGTATGGGTGATGTGGCTTTCTGTGAATATATAATTATTGAAATTTTGATCATAAAGAATAGTGTGTGCACGAAAGCAGTTTTTGAGGAAAAATGCTAAAGAGTTTTAATTAAATTTATCAATGTACAGCAAGCATCAATCATACGTTGTTGTATGAAGGCTTAGTCTCTTTTTCAAAATATGTTGTTATTTTTCTCAATTTTTAATCAGAAAAAATCCATCTGTAGCAGATGATGCCTATGAAAAAATATTATATTAGGTTAGTAACCACTATTTCAATTTTTGAAATATTCACTTAAAAAGTAAATAAAAATTTAAATATGACAAAAGTTGAATAAAAACGTTGAATACAAAACCAGAATTTCATTATCTCATTACAACAACCTTTACCCCATACCATTCACAGTGAGCATGATACAGAAGGTAAGTAAAAAATCAGCAACAATTTATCTTCAGAACAATAATTCTATCTTGCATTCAATTTTGTGTATTTTTAAAGGTTAAACGTAAGGAATTCACAATGAAATAATGTCAGGGGGGAAAAAGGGGGCAATGTGCACATGAAACACCTCAGATCCTATAGCATTTATGTTAACCAGCGTGCATTACCTCACTCTCTAATTATGAAAATTTTCAATTGCAGTGGTCAGTGTAATAGAAGTCTAAGCCACATTTTAAGAAATCTGAAGAAAATCATGTTTAAGTTACATAGTTGTAGTTAGAAAGAATAGTGATGAGAAAAAAATAGAGATTTCATTCTTAACTTTCTAGAGGAAAATGATCACACACCAACAATGTACAAGGATAATTCACCTTCTTAGATAACAAATGGTATCAATAACTCCATTTTTCATTTTGAGGGGGTTAGACTTCTATTGCGCTCAGTCCTTCACATTATACCATTGAAATAAATGAGTGGGGAAATGTCCTCGAGACTTTCAAATAATCCCTTCACCAGGTCATTGAACCCAATATTTCCTGCTCAGAAAGCCAGAAATATATATTAGATACTATCCTGTAATAAGTTATATTTGAATCTACAATAACATTGTGTTCTAGGCCTCTGATGGCTGGTTTCATTTCTAGTTTTATTACTTTCCAACTACTTTCCAGGGAAAAAGATTAAGTAACCTTTTTAAAGTCTGCCAAATGGTCCATCTAATAAGCACTTACTTCAGAGTATCTTCACAAATACGGCTGAGCAAGGTCTAGTCAATTGAAAAAGATAAAAGATAATTTAAAACAAATAATGCTGTGGCATCCTCAATCAGAACACTATTAAGGTGACACTTTAGAGTTTATCATTAAAACTTTCATTGTTCTGTGCCAAAAGAACTTGTTTGAAACATTTAAAATGAGAATATCATTTAAATAATTACAAAAGGCAAGAAAATTATGGCTAATTGAAAATCTGCTGACATCAACAAGATCCAAAACCCATGCGCTAAAAGATAGGCTTCAGTATACTCAGTTCTCCTAGTTAATACGCTGCCTTTCAAAAAAACGGTCTACCTCTTGAATAAAACATTCTAAAAACAAAGTCAACATTAAAAAATCACGTTTTTCATTATACTTTCTGAAGATAATGATATATAATTAAGATGATAACTGTTACAATGACAAACCTCATGACATTTCATATGCGTTTTGAAATCAAAAAAGGATTTTCATCTCAGTACATATACTAAGAGACATTCAGAACGACTGCTTCTAAAAACTAATATAAAACTCAACGTCTTGCAGGCACGGATTTCTGCTTTCGAAACTAACACAGTTTATTTTTATATGAATTTCAAAATTTTGGAGCAATGTAAAATAATTTTCGACTTAGCTACGAAAATAACCGTCATAATTATTATGCACTGGTAATAATAGAGAGGGTCCAGCCAGCAGATAGAGAAGAGAGAGAGTTGACTATTACATTACTTTCTCGTTACGGAGTACAGAGAAAGTTATGTAATGCGCGAAAAAATGGCGAATTTTCGGCAGAAAAACTTTTCTTAGAAGGCCCTGGTAACGAAAAAGTGGATAAATCTAGTTGCTAAATTAAGAGGTGTAGCCATAATCCATGTTTTGTGAGTTCTTCATACTGAAAATCGAATGACAGCAAAACGTCTGTCCGTCTATAAACAACGCTAGCGGCTAAACCGCTCAGCTGATTTTCTCCCAAATTAATATTCCCTAATCGATGTCGCGGCCCCTTCAATTGGAAACCGACATTTTAATTTTGAAAATTGCAAAAGTTTTGTTTTTTTTCTTTCTACACCTAAAATATTAGAGATTTTTTGCTTAATGAAATCTGTTCCTTGAAGATGGATTTTAAAATAAGATCGTGTACAATTTTTCGAAAGTTTGAGTACCTTTCGCGTAATTTTGCATAAAAATACGTGGCACAGAGTATCTGCTGTTTCAACACTAGGTTTTAGATAGTAATAAAAACTCCTCCGTTTGGCAGTGCAAGGCAGCGATCTCCGTATAATCCAATAATACTCGTAAATAGGTCTTATAGGCTTCCTTCGCGTGAATAATTGACTCTTTGAAAGAATTATGTAAGTCGGCATGACATTCGTTCGTATATTAATTGGCACGAGTTAAAATATTATTTTAAATCGTAAATAGTTCAAAAAATGTTCATCAGTCGGGCACAGTACCACTTTTCAAAATGTCCAAGACGAAAATGCAGACGATAAATAGGGGCCAGAGGATGCAATTTTTGTTGGTAAACCTAGGATTGAAAGAGGCGTCGTTAGGCGCTGAGCAGTGTCAAAAGGTGCGGAGTTCGCTCCTGCAAGACCTGCATACCGTTGCGCTCGGGAGTCGTACGGTTAGCCGCTATTTCGGGCGGACCAGAAATGACATTTTTACTTTCTCGCGCATAAGAAGGAATGTGATGCTGCGCGAAAAACGGCGAATTTTCGGCAGAAAACTCTTATTACAGGGCCCTGGTAACGGAAAAGTGGGTGAAACCAGTTGCTAAATATAGAAGAAAATAAACAAACTCTAATACGTGGTGTGGCCAGAATCCCGTGTTTTGTGGGTCCTTGATACCGATAAGTCGATTGACGGCAAAACAGTCTGTCCGCCTGTGAACAACACTAGCGACTGTTCGGCCAATTTTCTTCAAAATTGATATTCCCAGGTCGATGTGACTGATGTCGTGGCCCCTTAACATGACACTGGAATATTAAAAAAAAATGATCCAAACATTTCTAACTTTTTAGGAAATTCAGAATTAATAGTGAAAATCGGATCCATGCCATCCCTATAACTAAGGTTTCTAAGCATCATACTATTTAAAAATACAAAAATATCCGATTTTATTTATTTAAAACATTTAAATATATAACAAGACGTGTTTTAAGTTTCGTAGGACGCTTAAATATGGCATATCTGTTTGGTTGAAATATCTGAATTTTACAAAATTGCAAAAGTATATAATTTTGTGAAGTGTTCTTTCAATAAGCAAGATACAGATTTTTTCGTGTTAAAGGACTTCAAATATGTCTTAAAATACTAATTTTTAAACCTAAAAAAAGAGTATTTTTCGCGCAATTATGACACCAAAAAATGTATATTAAAACCAAGATTTTCATAAAGTCTCCAATATTTTTTTCTCGTATAGTACGAAGTACGCCTATAAAAGAGGCATGGATCCTCTTTTTTTTTTTACTCTAAATTTTTGAAAATTTCAAAAGTTACAATTAATAAAAGAAAGTATGGGCTGTTGTAGCACCACAAATAGTTTTCTATATGCAAATTATAATTTCTTAGTTGTATTAAATTCAAAATTTCATGGTAAGTAAATATAATACTTCGACTCGACATGTATGGTTTAAGTCGTATTATGAGAAATAACTATTATTATTATTATTATTATTATTATTATTATTATTATTATTATTATTATTACATTTGTTTCAACAATATATTATCGGCATCCAACATAATTAGCTATTCATGCCCAGTGTTTGGCTAATTTGTAGTTACTATCAGAATTAGAAATTAAAATTTGTCGTAAATGAAATACGTAATATGTTAATAAATAACCAAACGAATTCGTGAGCTTTGATACTTAAAATTAGGTTGTCTGTATCGTTGGGAGACAAGATAAAAATAATCAGATTGCCTGGTCTCTATGATACATAAAGAACTACTCAATCAAAATAACTTCCAATGTAAATCTATATAACTTTTATTGAAAGAGTACTGGAGAGTTTCTTGACAGATCTCTTCGCGCACTTCAAAATCACGAGACGAAAGAGCGCGGGAGACAGCCATGACAGCTCAGCGCTGCCTGGGACCCGCCCACTGAACACGCTTCCAGCCATGATCACCGAGGCCTAGCGGTTATTTTGGTTATGTGCCTGCCACACGTGCCAACTATTGTATTATCACATTACAAAGTTCATTTCTGCGGGGAAAAAAACACACAATCGATCGAACAACGAAAGGTGGTATCTGAATAGTGTCAATTAAAGGAATAATGATTCGTTTTAGAAAAATCTTCAAGCACACTGTAAGCAACGTGGTAGGCATGATTCATATAGGCGCATTGCCAGGTACTTGGACAATACTATAGCTTTCCGCAGACAATGTACTTTATAAAATTGAACATAACATGATAACTTACCCATTATATAGTCCTCGGTTTTCTTCTGTACTTCTAGGAGCGATTCACAACCACGTGTCTCAGTTTTTGTTTCTCTCCGAACAACACATCACACAAGTAAAGGGCACTATTTCACAAGTAATTGCCATTGAATGCGTTAACACAAGTAATTGCCATGCGTTATGCACACATTAACACTCCACCATGATAAAAACGTGGTTAACTAAACATTTATATCAAATTCGCGCTCGCGTATGGATTCCCTCGCCGCGCAAGTGAGAGGACCTGCTGGCACTACTGTGGTCGACAATGAAACCATTTCCTGCCGCCGCCGATTTCAAATGCTGTTATGCATCAATGGTGGATTTAACAGTTTATGATTTCATATTTTTCAGGAACACCACGTTATGAAGGTTCAGTTGCTAAATTGGTGGACAATGCATGTAAAGAAGCTGAAATATATCAGGAGTGTGGTATTGTAAGTTTTCCTGTACATCATATTTAAATATGAAACTCCTAATTCATAATTAAAGTTGCTCAGTAAATATTCCAAACAATACACAAGGGTTAAAATAGCAACTAATATTACTATGTATTTAATAGATAGATACAATGACTCATTTCAGGTGTAAAGAAAATGACTGTCTTCTTTTCATTGAGATGTAACAAACGGTTTTAGAGTGCCCATCATTCATTTATAAATATAGGGAGATTGATCACATCAGAAAAACAATAATAATAATATAATAAATACAATTTAACAATAGATTTTGATGACATTTGTTTTTTGTTGTGCAAACTGGTTTCCTTAGTTATAAGTAAAACTGATAACTACCATTAACTCTTGACTTAAATCTAAATTGCATTGACTTCTCTTATCAGAGCACTTATTATTCATCATTGAAACAACTCTTAATAAAAAGTTCTGCAATTTTGTCAAAATGAGCTTGGATGTTCGAAAATTAGGAACCACAGTACTTTAAAAATATATGGAAAGATTAGAAGATCGATATGGGTGCCGGGAGGGCATGATAAAAATTAGCTCAAAATTGGGAGTACTTGGGAAATATGGGAGTCCAGATCACCCTAGAAAGTTTCTAATGTCACTTTGCTGAGAAACACTTTGTTTCTGCACTGAGCTCAGAATTTCTCTTTGATATCCAAAAGGTTGTGCGTAAGTGGAAAATACTAGGATACTTCTAAGAATTATCAAATAAAAAATTCTACTTTATTCATTTCAAACAGAGAAAAAAGCGAATTTGTGTCTTGAAAGAATTGGGATGCGAATTACACCAGATCTGAATTATGCACAGTGGTGCGTTCACAGCCGATTTTTGCCCATCAGAACTTTCAGTATATAGGAATCCTTATTAGCCCTCCAGCCAGTGTTGATTGCAGGGCAACCCCAAGAGCGCTTTGGGGTTGAAATGAACATAAAGTTGCAGTGATGTACAGTTTACAATGAAATTGAAAAATTACAACAACAAAAAAGAAGCCACAGAAGTCGATGCTTCTGATGAAAAGTATTATTAAACCAACACAGTCAGGAACATCATCTGAAGATCTTTCTGATTGCCACAATCTCATTGTTCAAACCACTGTTTTAATCCGGAACCAGTTTCACAATATTGGATTCCTCAGATATTGTCCTTCAACTCACTTGGAATCTCTACATTCTCTCTGAGTTAAATGTCTTCCCTCTTGTTAAGGGAGTCTCGCAAAGGATAGAGACTGTCTTTATATCAGCTGATTCTGTAAAAATCAACCAACATTGCTACTTTTATTTTCATTGACCAACCATAGTTTTCATGTTCTTCAACTGCTATGATCTTTGGTGCCCAGGAAAAAGATTAGGAAGGTAAGCCAACTTGTCCTGTGCGTTTGTGAGGGTGTTCCTGTGGCAAAGTCAGGAAAGGGTCAGGGAAACTACTCATCAGAGCAGTAGATTATGATTCAATTCTGGTAACATCACAAACCTAACCAATCTTGAACACATCAGAAGATTTACAGTGCTTGCTGAGATTGAACTTACGACCTCCCAATTTGCTAGCTGCAACTGTGTTAGTGCTGTGTATTCAATTGAATAATTTTTTAAATATGTTTTCAAAAATGA